CAACGATTAAGAATTTAGGCTCGAATTGGAATTAGCGCAGACCAAAAATTGGTGCGCGGAAAACGAAAGGCAAATCCTATAGTAAGTAGGCTAAATTTTACGGAGTACGTAGGTTAAAATTAACTAGGATCAAAAATTGGTGCGCGGCCGGGACTCGAACCTTTCGCTTACCGCGCAAATGTGCTAACCATTAAGCTAGACCGCACTTGACCTCTCGGACTTCAGAGGGAGTTAACTTCTCTCCTCTCTGAACGAGACGGTTTCACAGGTCTCGATAGGCCTGGGCTGCGCTCGAAACTAGGTATGAAGACCTTAGTCAGCAGCATTGCAGAGTCCAACCTTCCGTGGTCGCCAGTTGGAACTAGGACAGATCAAAAAATTTGTGCGCCGCCAGGACTCGAACCCGCGACCTCCCGCTTACCGCGCAACTGTGCTAACCATTACACCACAAAGCACCTGATCTCCGTTACTCCAGAGGGAGTTAACTACGGCAAAATCTGAAGTGACGCCCTTTGAAAAATAACATACCGTATTTACTCTATTAAAAGCCCCGGGGCGTTTATTTTTTCGATACCCCTCTAGGGGGGGGGGCGTTTATTAGAGGGGGGGGGCGTTTATTAGAGGGGGGGCTTTTATTAGAGTAAATACGGTAACATCCGAGCTTCTAAACAACTACTCTTGAATATCAAGCAAGATACTGACAATCTAACAACGTGGGGAACACTACTTTACATTTAGAATGAGGTTTTAGGTGGAAATTATGAGGATTTTCGCGACTTGAGATCCGGAATCCACCGGTGGGTCCCATTGTCGTGAATTGTGTTAACAAATGTTAACATTGTGTTAACAAATTTGTGTTAACAATGTTAACAACAATGAGATCGAAATTTGGGATGATTTTTATCATTTTTTTAAAGAATTTTCCATCACCAATGCCACGAGTTTGCATTGACGCAATTGGGCTCAAAATGCTTCATCATTTTTCGAAATTTCCCCAATCCTCCCCGCCACCCTGCCACTTTTTTCTTTGTTTTCTATTTTTCCACCTTCATCTTCTCCAGTTTATTTTTTTTACCGGATTTCTATAGCTCCAGACAGTCTCTTGATTGTTTTTAGAACTATTTTCAGTTTCCAAAATTCTCATCAATGAGTTATTTGAAGTTATTTTCTTAAACGATTCTAGAATTTGTATGTAAAATGAAAAAATTTCTTATTCTTAGAAAAAAGGAAAACTTTCTGAATGCATTTTTTCTAAAGTTTAAGCAAATTTTAAGCTTCTTTCTTTCTAAATTCAAGTTCATAATGCAAATTCTTGCACAATAGCAAAAAAAAGAACTGTTCATCGTTTACTCGTTTATTCAATTTGTAATGGAAAGATTTTGCGACTTGATTTTCTGTGGAATCGTTGAAAATTTGACCTTTCCTGCTTCACTTGTCACTTTTAGATTAGTTTAGAAATTTTTCAAGCCATCGTTTGAATCTATTTCTGGATCTATTGGGTCGGTGAATCGAAAACTTCGGGCTATTGTCATAGGTGACAGTTTGAGCGCTTTCTTCAAAAGAAACCCATTTTGGTGTCAATGGAAAAGTTGTAGAGAATCAAAAATCAAGCTTATATCCAAATTTTCAGAACGATTCAAAAACTGGTTTTCAAGAAATGCCAAATTTACGACTTTTCACAAAACTTGCATTTTAAGCGAAACTACTAAGTATATCTTTTTGGAAATTTGGCTATAAGCCTAATTTTTGATTCTCTACAACTTTTCTATTGACACCAAAATGGGTTTCTTTTGAAGAAAGTGCTCAAACGTCCTCTAGGGACATCTCCAGTCCTCCATTTTTGAGTCTCACACTTGTCTCACACACAAACCAAAATCCTACTACGAAAGAGGAATCGGCAAATTGCCTGTAAAATGAGTTCAAAGTCCCGCAGTTTTCAATTCACCAACCCAATATTTCTAAATCTATTTCTTCCCGTTTGAACTTCTTTTCAAATCACCGGTCTGATGACGTGAAATCAAATCTTTTGAAGTTTAGGGATGAGCACTTCTTTTTGTGGCTCTTTTTGTCTTTGTTCTCTCTTTTTTTTGTCTCTTTTTTGTCCTTTTTATCTCTATTTTTGTCTCTTTTTCGGTGAAGAACTCGAAAAACACTCGAAAATCGAGAAGAGAAGCTCGTTCAGAGCTTTTAAGAATGATAACACAAAAGTAAAAGAGTAAAAGGGGAAAAGTAACTGTTCTATGTGGATATTGATGAAAGGTAAAGGTAAAAAAAGGTAAAGAATTGGTGAAAATGGGTGAGTAAAAGTAAGGAAAAGACTGCCGAGTGGCTGCTGAGCCTTCACCATCTCACAGCCACCCCCAAAGATCTTCGATTCCTCGAGTGAGGCCAGAAATCAATTGTCCAATGATTGATAATACAATTATTTAATGCTTTCGTTTTCTTGTAACGATTTTCAGTGCAGATTATTGTTCACATTGTTAAGAAGACCGAAATTGCATGAAAATTTGTTTTTTTTAGATAAATTGAACTGAAATTTGCAAACTGGAGTTTTCAAGGATGCAAATTTGAATTCAGCATTTAATTTTACTCTAACTAAAGTGAGAATTTTGAAATGTTCTAACAAAATTTTATTGTAAGTCTTTGTTTTGTCAAGGAACATTTTGCAAAGCTTGCTTTTATAGGATTGTCTTTTTTGTTCAAATTTAAACTAAAGTAAGTTTTAGAGAAAAGCTAGCTATTTTAAAGCATCAAAAACATTTTAAATAAGAAAATAACATAACATCCGAACTTCTAAACAACTACTCTTGAATATCAAGCAAGCTATTGACAATCTAACAAGGTGGGGAACACTATTTTACATCTAGAATGAGGTTTTAGATGGAAATGATAAGGGTTTGCGCGACTTGAGATTCGCGATCCACCGGTGGATCCTTTTGTCGTGAATGTGTTAACAACAATGTTTTAACAATGTTAACAATAATGTGTTAACAATGTTAACAATAATGAGATCAAAAATTTGGGATGATTTTTGTGATTTTTTGAAGAGTTTTCCATCACCAATGCCACGAGTTTGCATTGACGCGCTTGGGTTCAAAATGCTTCATCACTTTTCGAAATTTCATTGTCGTGAATGTGTTAACAAATGCGTCTTAACAATGTTAACACGTTCCACTGGGGCAGTAACGCAAAAAAAAACGCCTCGTCGCGAATGTGTTAACAACAATTGTGACTCTAACTCAGGTGAAAATTTTGAAATGTTCTAACAAAATTTTATTGTAAGTCTTTATTTTGTTTTGTTTTGCTTTGTTTTATTTTGTTAAAGCACAGTTTTTCAAAGCCTGCTTTTATAGGATTTGTTTTTTTTTCTTGCTCAATTTCAAAGTAATCACTTTTACAGAAAAGCTAGCTATTTTAGAGCATCAAACCCATTTTTTTAAATAAAAAAAAATGGCATTTCTCGCGAGAAATGACTAATTGAATGAATCAAAACAGACAAGAAAAGAGTGGAGTGAAGAGAAAGCTAAAGAAAAACCGTCAATGATTCCATTCACAATTCCATTTTTCCCAAAAAAATGGGAATTCCATTCCATTAATTCAAAATTTTAAAAAATTTACAAAAATTTTGAATGAAAAGGTTTTGTACGCGAAATTCTTTATCAAATTCCTCAGTTTGAACTTCTTTTGGCACTGGCAACGATAAAATTTTGAAGATTTTTGTGTTCTCAATGCAAAAAAAGCCCGCAAAAATTCCATTCTCTTCCAAAAAAAAAAAAAAATTGGCGGCAAAGTGCTTTGTAAAATTTTTCCGTGTCATTCTCTCATCAGAATCTTCAAAACACCAAAAAAGGCATTTTTTTTGCCCTTTTCCCATCCATAAATGAGTCATTGATCCGAAAAAAGAAAGACAAAAAGGGACTTTCTTTTGAGAATTTTTCATTTTTCTTTATTCCCAGCTGAATCTAGCTTTAATGAATCGATCGTTTTTGAAAAAACTCTTTAAAACAAACTTTGAAACTCTTTGAAACTCTTTTCCTCGTCACCAATTACCTTAAAAATAAAAATTCCCAAATTTTCTCTTGCAATCTTTTTGATTTTACAAAAATTTTGACAAGAATTCCCTAGTTTTTTCCAGAAATTTCATTGCATTAAAAGCTTCAATTTTTCAATAGAATTCAAGAATTTACAAGGAAATCAAGCTTTATTTTGTGATTTACAATGTTCCCATACTCGAATCCGGGTTTTTTAAAGTTTTAAATTGTTATTTTCATTGAACAATGTCTTAGAACTATCGTATTTTAGTAGCTCCGTCTTTTCTACGCCTCTTTTTAAAGATATTCAGCCGTTCAACTGATTTGGCGGCAAATTCCCTTTAAATCCAAAGATATTCCATTTACTCGACGTGTAAAGAGGATTACTCGTAGTTACTCGACCAAAAACGTTGATTACCGTATTCTCTTTAATAGTAGTGCACCGTGAGCGTTGCCTAAATTTCACGAAATCTCGAGAGCCGCTTATCCGAACCTATCGATGTGGGGTCGGAAAATGTAGGTGACGATGAGATCTAGTGGGGGATTAGAGTGTTGAGCTTCTGGGAAAACTTTGGAAGCCGTAAATAGTCACCAACTCGGCAGGGTGCACCATTAAGGAATGCGCCTTAAGGTTTGCCTAAATTCCTCGAAATCTCAAAAACCGCTTATCAGAACCTATCGATGTGGGGTCGGAAAATCTAGCTGACGACGAGATCTAGTGGGCGATTTGAGTGTTGGGCTTCTGCAAAAGCTTGGAAACCATAAAATAGTCATCAACTCGGCTTGGCCGGGTGCACTACTATTAGAGAAAATAAGGTTTAAAATTTGTCTCTAATCACTTTTTCATTTTCTGTCGAATCATTTTTGTTCATTTCAAATTTCATTAAAGAATTCTGTTTAGAAATTTCTTTCGTTTTACTTTACAAGTGAAACACTTGTTAACGAAATGATTTTCAGATGCGAAATTGGATGCAAATTTTGTTATTCAGTGGATTGTTGCCGATTGTTGTCTATTCTCTCACTTGTTATGATTGTTATGACACAGGACCCGATCACAAAACGTGCACACAACAAAGGAATTGCACCGGGAAAGCATGCATGATTTGTAAGTTTTTTTTTTTATATTTTTTGGAATCATAAGATTGAACTAGGGTTTCACAAAAGCTTTTAAAAATTCAAAACAATTAACTGTACTATTGGATTATACGCCGCCATTTTGTTATTTCGTTTATGCCCCCCACTGATCAATTAGATAATATTAACATACAAAACTTTTAAAGTCCAAATCCTGCTTACAGAGTACTGTATTTATGAGCTAGGTTTAACGTAGAGAAATCCAAGGCTGAGCTTGTCAGAGCTGGTAAGATGGTATTGAAAAGCGCTAAGATTAGTACACCACTTTTAGACGTCTAATTTCCAACTTGTTCACTATTTTAAAGTTGACCTTTTCTTCAGATTCTCAAGCAAATCCATTTCCATTCATCTATTAGGTTGATGCATAAGTGTTTTTGTTCCTTTTCGTCTGCCGTTTCAAGCCAACAAATGCACCAATTAAACTACGGTTGATTTCATTAGAAAAAGCAATTATTTTTCTGCAAAATAACATTAAAACGGGTTTAAAAATATTTAATGCCTGGATTTTCTTGAGAGTATGAAGTCGGGTAGTCAAAAAGGGTAGTCAAACAAGCAATCAGTAAAGGGGATCGATAGCTAACTTATCCATTTATATTTTGAATCAAAAATCGGTTCGACTTGGCAAAAGTGCAACTTTAGCAGGCTTCTTAGAAGGGGATTTCATTATGAAATCAAAAAAATATTCAACAAACAAGCAAGAATTTAAAAAAATGGATAAGTTAGCTATCGATTATGACTCATTGCATTGCCATTGCACTGATTTTTTTTTATTGCATTCTCCTTTTTCTAACGTGTGTTTGAGTTTTGAAGCGCTCAGAGAACACTCGCTTCGGCTAAAGCTAAAGCTAAAGAATTACTCCATGGAAACAACAAGTTTTTTAAACTATTAGGTTGATGCATAAGTGTTTTTGTTCCTTTTCGTCTGCCGTTTCAAGCCAACAAATGCACGAATTAAACTACGGTTGATTTCATTAGAAAAACCAATTATTTTTCTGCAAAATAACATTAAAACGGGTTTAAAAATATTTAATGCCTGGATTTTCTTGAGAGTATGAAGTCGGGTAGTCAAAAAGGGCTAACTCGATGATGCGGTTTAGACACCTTAGCTAAAGAAAACCTATCTTCGTGTCAATAGATAAAAGATAGAGAAAAAAAACGTTTGATATTTGGCCAAAATTTCAGAGAAATTCATTCAGCCAATTTTTCCGTAGAGTTTTTTATAGATTTTTACGAAAAAGGCGTTTTTCACTCTCGAATTTGCTTGAAAGTGAACCGAAATTCATTTAAAAAGATGCAAATTGAACAAAAAAACACTTTTTTTTATAGAGCAAACTATAGATTAATTGGTGAATTTGTTACTTTTTAGCAGAAGTACGAAAAAAACGAAAAGACTTATGCATCAACCTAATATCTTCTCTATCTAAAAGATCTTGACTTAAATTCATGTAAAATGAATGGATCTCTTTGGGATGAATCCGAGGAGATTGTCGTTTTTAAAAATTTTTTTTAATTATCGCCCCCAGGATCTCCGCTTTATTTCGTAAATTAATATATGCTAATTAACTAACGGGATTATAATCAAAAAATACCCAATAAACTTTTCTTTTCTTTCAGTTGATGCCGGTGATGGGAAAACGCTGACCGCTTTTTGCATCATGGCAACGAAACACGAAGAGGAAAAGGTGAGTAATTTTCAGAATTTGTACTTTGTGCTTAAGAAATGTATAGAAACAAGTCACTTTTGGCATAGTTTGGGGTAAAAATTTGTTTGTATGGTTTTGGGTTGAAGAAATTGCTCAGAAATCGGCTTGCTGGATGGAGTCGGATGGAGTGGGGAAGCATTGTATCTGCCATGAGGATTTCTGCAATCGACTCGACGCTAAACAACCCATTGCTGCAGCTGGTTGGTGGAAAAAGCAATCGATTTCTCAATAGCAATAACATTTGATCGCCATAGACGACAGGCTAAGAACCGTGTATCTTAAACGGAAGGTCAAGAGTTCAATTCCATCGGGAGTTCAATCCCATCGGCTAGATCAGCTCTTTTTTTCATATATAAAGGTTTTTTCTTTCCTAGATTTAGCAAAATGTAAACTTTTCTTTATTTAGACGATCCACTCACACAAAATGTTGGCGGTGCCGAGATGCTGAAGAAGAATCCGTTGGTGGATTATGAAGATGAAAGTGAGTCAGATTTGAACAAACAAATGATGTGGAGTGAAAATAGATTTCAAAATGTAAAATAATAGAATTAAAAAGAAAACTAGACTGCAACTAGACTGCAGAAGAATAAAATTATTTATGATTTAGATGAGGGTGCAGCACCGGCTCCAGCCAACGTACTTTTCCCCGGCGCTGAGGCGGCCGACCCGCAAACGACAGGAGACGATGATGATGGTTGAATAGTTTATAGTTTAATTCGATAACTTTGCAAATCTTCCAATTCTTTCAATTCTTTCAATTTTTTCAATTCTTTTTACAATTCCTGAAATTCAGATTTGGTGCCGATCAGCTTCGAGGACTACGAGAACAAGGAGAAGTTGACAGAAAGGGACTCGAATGAGCAACGACGATTGGAAACGAATCAGATTGGGTGAGTGACAGGAAATGAATTCTTGAAGATTATCGGTTCAAGATAGATTTAGCTAACTAATCTCTAGCTGTTCAAGATATTTAGCTAACTAATCTCTAGCTTTTCCAGTTATTTAGCTAACTAATTTCTAGCTTTTCAAGTTATTTAGCTAACTAATCTCTAGCTGTTCAAGATAATTTCTATCTGTTATCTTTATCTGATAATTTCTATCTTTAACTAACTAATCTCTAGCTTTTCTAACAAAATCAACTAATATTTCGTCTAGGAAAAGAACTCACATTCAACATCATTCTCTTCATAAACATCATCACAGAAGGAAACTGAAAATTCATTCAAAGAAAAGAATGGAAATGAGAAAGTAAAGGGAAAACAAGGGTTTTTGTGCTTTTCGAAATCCTTTCAGTGTCTATAATGAAGCAATTTCCTTTGTGCTTGTCCATCAAAAAGTTTCAGAATTGTTCTTACAATTCACTTTGTGCTCTTAAAATGGAAACATATCCTTTCTGACGCACTCAACACCCTTTCTTGCGTCTGCTTAATTGTTAAATAGTCGAAATACACTGTGGCCCATAATATGTGTACGATTTGTACGATTTGTACAATGTACAATGTACGATGTGCACAATGTGCGATGTGTAAAATGTACAACGATGTGTAAAATGTACAACGATGTGTAAAATGTACAACGATGTGTACAATGTACAACGATGTGTACAATGTACAACGATGTGTACAATGTACAACGATGTGTACAATGTACAACGATGTGTACAAAGTACAACGATGTGTACAATGTACAACGATGTGTACAATGTACAACGATGTGTACATTTTACGCCTTATATGGAGGTAGATTAAGTCGGAAATGTTTCAGATTACTTAAATTTTGTTATAATTTCATTTATATAACATTTTTACCCTTATATTCCATATTTTTAGTCCAATCGATCGGCTATAAGAAAAATTAGGGCCATTAGAAGCTCCGTAAATAAAAACGTCTAGCACACTGTATATTTTCTTATGAAATCGTGCTTAAAGTGCTTCACATCACAAATTTTCTTTCTAATTTCTTCTTTTAACCGACCGATCGGGCTAAAAATATGGAATATAAGGGTAAAAATGCTATATAGATGAAATGATAACAAACTTTAAGTAATCTGAAACATTTTCAACTTAATCTACCTTCATATAAGGCGTAAAATGTATACATCGTACATTGTACACATCGTTATACATTGTACACATCGTTGTACATTGTACACATCGTTGTACATCGCACACGTCGTACATTGTACACATCGTACATGGGCCACTCTGTAATCAGATCAGTTGCGTTTTTAAAACCCTCACAGCAAGATTGGATAAGAAAACTAAAAGTACGATTTTGCTTTGGCAGATTTGAGACGTTTTAGAAGCGGATTATCTTGATTGTCCGATTCTAGTCATAAAACAGATTGAATCATTTCCAAATCCATCATTTTTAGAGACGTCTCTCCAACGGATGCTGACGTCTCTTCAGCGCCTCAACCCCCAAAATGTGTGTTAATATTCTTGACGATGGCTGCCTCAATGGCTCGATTCTTTGCCGGAATTTGAAGCTTCTCAAGATTTCTTAGCAATTTTCTGTTTTAGAAAAAAACTAATCAAACTTGGAATGATTTTTGGGAAAGTTTCTTGTTGTTAGCATATTCAAAGCATCAAAATAAAGCTACAAAGCTAACAAAACAAAGCTAACAGCTAAAAATCTTTCTTATAACGCTAAAATGACAATTTTTTTTCTTTCTATTCTCTTTATTTGTATGTATAGTTTTTATCTTACTTAAAGGGTTTTTTTAAAAAAAAGATTTTCATCTAAATTTTCGCATATTTAGAATCCTTTCTCTTTTCTGTTTCTTCTTTGAAAAACGCGTTGTGAATATTTCTCAAATCGGGTTCCCTATCTGTTTTCTTTTTTTGGTTAGCTATAATCTATTCATTTTTTTTCTATATTTTCAATGTGCCTTTCTTTTTATATGTCGTAGCCGATTATGAATGAAATTTTTTGGTAAATCTTTCTAGTAGAGCAACCCTTTAATGTATGAGGAAAATATTATATCATCTTGTAGCGAATTAAATTCTGCGTTGATTGGTACCAAATTTGTGAGTTTAGGTTAAAAATTACTGGCGCTACAAAGTTTCATTCAAAATCGGCGGGATTCCTGTAGCCGATTATGAATGAGTGGGTCTAGGAGCATCCAACCATCAAGTATTTGGTATCATTCAACGCAGAATCATTAATAATTATGTTAAATTTTTTAAATTAGAAAGATTGGATGAAAAGAAAAAAAATTATGGGGCCTCAAAGTTTCCTCTTGAACAAACAGTTTTTTTGCTCTAATTTTTTTTTCTTTTTATCAAATCTCGCTAATTTTAAAAATTTAACATAATTATTAATGATTCTGCGTTGAATGATACCAAATACTTGATGGTTAGGCGCTCCTAGACCCACTCATTCATAATCGGCTACGACATATATAATCTATATTCTTCCATATTTGAGCTTATCATTGTTAGATTGATAATTGATAATTCTCTTGAGCAAAATCCTATAAAATTTGTTCTTCTTTTGTGTCTTTCCAGAGAAATGGCCCTGGAAAATTATTGTAAACCCTTCAATATTTGGTTTTTCAACTTCTTTTTAACAAGTTCATTTGTATACTTTGCGCTTTCAGAAAAATGAGTAAACACATTCTTTCTGGCGCATTCGTTTATGCTTTCCTAGCATTTATTAACCTAAAATCTTTTTTAGAATTGTTTATGAAAGCCTATTACTGAAGGATTTACAGTATCCGACAAAAAAGGGTCTCGATTAGAGTGTGTTCCTCGCGAGTAAGTAATTGCTTGAGTAAATTTTCCTGAGTAGTTTCTTTACTTGATTACCGTATTTTCTCTAATGGTAGTGCAGAGTGTATCCTGAGCCGATGATCGCTTTCTAAATTTCGAATTAGCACCGAGTTGGAAATGTTTGGCAACATTTCCTTTTTTCGTAGTAGTGCACCCCGGCGAGCCAAGTTGATGACTATTTTGCGGTTTCCAAGCTTTTCCAGAAGCTCAACACTCTAATCCCCCACAAGATCTCATCGTCAGCTACTTTTTCCGACCCCACATCGATAGGTTCTGATAAGCGGTTTTTGAGATTTCGAGGAATTTAGGCGACGCTTAGAATGCCCTACTATTAGAGAAAATACGGTAATCAACGTTTTTGGCCGAGTAACTACGAGTAATCCTCTTTACACGCCGAGTAAATCGAATATCTTTAGATTTAAAGGGAATTTACCGCCAAATCAGTTGAAGGGCTGAATATTTTTAAAAAGAGGCGTAGAAAAGACGGAGCTACTAAAATACGACTTTGATCAATGAAGACTTTGATTCTAAGACTTTGATCAATGAATCTAAGACTTTGATCAATGAAAATAACAATGTCAAACTTGAAAAAAAACCCGGATTCAAAAACCCGGAGTATGGGAACATTGTAAATCACAAAATAAAGCTTGATTTCCTTGTAAATTCTTGAATTCTATTGAAAAAATAGAAAAATCAGTTAACAGCTGAATACCTTTAAAAAGAGGCGTATAAAAGACGGAGCTCGCTTTTTTTTGCAATATTTTTTTTGGGTCAAAAGTACGGTTTTTTTTCTCAAGTTTGCGTTTTAAAAACGCATTACTCGCGAGGAACACATTCTAGGCTCGATCAATGACGTACTGTATCATTTTTGTTAATAAAGTTGCTCTGCTAAATGGTGGAAAATTTGCATGAATTCAAAACAACACGAAAAGCAGCAAGAGTGATCACAAAAACAATCCATTAATGTTTTTTCTGTGCCTTCTCACAGTCACACATTCGAAATTCTTCTCCAACTTTGGCAGCGCTTGACTGAGAGTCCCGTAAAAAGCTAAGAATCTCCTAAAATTTTGAGAAATGTCCCCATTTCATAAAAAAGAAGCAATCAGAAATATTTTTTAAAAAATTGAACCCTTTTAGCAATCAAATCTTGCCAAAATGATCTAATTCTTGAAAAATTTTTGACTTTTCCCAAGCAGTAATCTCCGAATTGGGATTAATTCTCATTAAAACCAAATTTTCGGCAGTTGGATGTAATAATAGCATTTTTTTATTGAAGTTTCATGTAGAAATGATTAAAATAAATTGATTTATCAAACATTCATCAGGGATTAAAAGATGAAAATCAACTTTACAGGTCAATTTATACATTGAGTATCTCAGCTTCCGATAGTTTAGTAACAATTACGTTTAGTAACTTAGTTTAGTAACAAAACCGAGTTCCAACTAGTAGACTCAATAAAATGAATGACTCCAATCGATTCGCCGACCGCGAAAACTCTCGGGTACAACTTTACAGCTGAATACCTTCTTTTTTGTGCCATCTACAAAGCAAAAGAAGAATCCTTGTGCAAATGACTGACGAAATGTTCTTTGTACGGTCACGTAATCGCTCATGGCCTAGCAAACCACTTCGGTATACGGTGCTTCTCTTTTGGAATACGTAAAGGGAAAGGAGCAACAGCAGCGATTTCACTCTCTGGTTGTCGCTATGCCCAAATATTTGGGATCAGTTTTTCCCCCCAAATCCGACTTTTTTTTGCTTGAAATTCTAGATTCTGGTGAAAAGCAAGGTAATTTAGTTTTAATCGATATTTGATATTCGTTCTTCGATTCGCGCCTTCACCTTTAAAAGCATTTTATCTATTCAATATCTATTTCTCTCTTCAATACAAACCCAATTTTTAGGGCTTACTCTGGACCGGTTGTTGGACCCATAAACCAAGAAAAGGCCAAGCCAGAACCCAAAAAAACTATGCTCAAATTTTCGAGTATAATACCGAGTTAGAAATTCATCAATTTCACACCTTTTATGTGGATCCACAGAATCCAAATCTAGTGTCAAAAAGTCGGAAGAATGTCTCTGTTCAATTTCCCTCTCAAGTCAAACCCCTCGATGTTGTCTGGTGTTGAAAAGAGAGATGAAAGAATGGAAAGCACAAGGTAATGGATGGTCTAAGGTCTTCTTTTGCCCATTCTTTTCTCATTCTTCTTTCATTTCTTCTCTCAATTCCCCCCTCTTCAGTCTTTTTCCTCTATCCGGATGAGATCCGATTTCTTCACCCATCAAACGGGCCCCCTCGTTCTCCATTCAAAACCATTTTCCTCGACAATCTTTATCTTTATCTCATTTACTATTGAGAAGGTGATCTTGGATTTTTGCGCTATTTAACGAATAGCTTAAGAAGCTTAAGAAACAGCTTAAGAACAGATTTCTAGGTATTAGAATTCGGAATTTGGCAAAGTCTTGATACTTCCAATTCATCCAAACCAAGCTTGCGCATATAAATATCTTTTAGAAATTGCTATATCTTTAAGAAATTGCTATATCTTTAATGCTATATCTTTAAGAAATTCCCATTTTCAGGGTAATTTTTCTGAATCTATTCTTATCTGATTTGATCTGGCTTTACTGCAAAGCAAATCTGTCAGTTTTTTTAACCATTATGTCCTAAAATTAAATTGTATTAAATTAATTAATTCATGAAATTAAACTTAGCTTTAAAAGCCTTTAGAGGAAACATTTGCAGTCAAAATCTCCAAAAGGTTAACTCAGCAAAGTAAAAAGTACTCTTAAACTTCTTCTTTACAATTAGTCACTTTTAAATTCAATAGTAATAAGTTACTGTATTTTCTCTAATAGTAGGGCATCCTAAGCGTCGCTTAAATTCCTCGAAATCTCAAAAGCCGCTTATCAGAACCTATCGATGTGGGGTCGAAAAATGTAGCTGACGATGAGATCTAGTGGAGGATTAGAGTGTTGAGCTTCTGTGAAGAACTTGGAAACCGTAAAATAGTCATCAACTCGGCTACTACTAGATTACTATTGGACGGGGTGCGCTACTATTAGGGAAAATACGGTAAATCTAGGCTAACATTGTAGTAGAAGCTTTGTTGAAGCAATACGACTTTAAAAAACCAATTCTTTCAAAACAAACATGCCTCTCTAATAGTAGTGCACCCTAAGCTTCACTTAAATTCCTCGAAATCTCGAGAACCACTGAGAACCTATCGATGTGTGGTCGGAAAAAGTAGCTGACGAGGAGATCTTGTGGGGGATTAGAGTGTTGAGCTTCTGCGAAGAACTTGGAAACCGTAAAATAGTCATCAACTCGGCTACTACTAGGCTACTGTTAGACGGGGTGCACTAATATTAGAGAAAACACGGTAATCATTGTTGCCAAACATTTCCTAATCTCGGAGATAATTTCCGTTCAAAAATTCAACCAGAAAAACCTTTTTTTTAATCATTCAGAAAGCTCACAAAGAGGGAAACAGCCGAAAAAGTTCCGTTTTTGATTTCCCTTGTTTTTTCGTCCAGTCTCCGAGGAATAAAATGCTCGAATGGATTGTTTAACCAGGAACACTCTCAAAAGCCGCCAAAAACCCCATTTTCAACCGATTTCCAACATTAATGTGTCTATTTTCTCCTTATTCCCATAAATTATTCAGTTTTCTTTCCTCTCAGCCCCGAAAAATCGCGTTCATTTTAT